TTGGTGGGGAGAATTATGTGATTTGGTAAATAGGATCCCTGACGATTATGGAAGAATCACCATAATGTGCATTCAACGATGTTTTATTATATTTCTGATAAAAATTTGTTTTTAGTTATTATTTTAATCATTAATCAATGTTCTCTATCTGGGTATTTCAAAAATATCACAAATTTGATAAATAGTATACCCTTGGTCATGCTATCATAAGATAACATATAGTTAATGTGCATCTTCTGGCTCAGTTTAAGACTTTAGAGGAAATAAAAAAACATCAAGTTTTCCATCCTAGTTTCATCTTCTGCATAGTAGATAATATTCCATATTTCCTGATCCCACCATTAACTGTAACAGTTTCTAAATGCCGTCTTCTCTTTTGTGTAAAAAGTCAAGTACTCTTCTATCTTCCATCAGCATATTATGGTGATGACAGTAATGTGCCACTTCTACTCTCTGAAATACATCTGAAGTGTTTGGTGCTTGATTTGCAAGAATAAAAGACCCTTTCTTTTCATGTTCATAATGGTTCTTCACAAAAGCCCAGTCCCTCCTTCCGGTCTTCTTCCCCTCTCATGCGTCTCTCGCTTCTTACTCCTTCGATTTTTAACCAAACTTCTATATTTCAGGAAAAAGAAAGGGAAAAACTCATTGACCTCTCAGCGTTTGCTACTTGAAGCAGATGGGCTGTGCTGTGTGGAGGTCTACTGGGTGTGGACGGATCTACGGGCTCAACCCCGTAACCCCTGCAGAGTTCTGCCGTGGCAACACTGCTGCTAAAGTTGCAGAGCTCCTGCAGAAAGTCTGGCAAAGCTTTAAAGCAAGAGGAATAAGCGGGGGAACTTGAAGAGCAGGATCAGTCCAGAGGGTCCAAACTTCTGACACATTATCCCAGGTGGGCTTTATTTTATGCCTGTTTTTTTATATCAAATATTGTTTTATCTGTCAATGATGTAATTGCAGCAAGAAAAAAAGAAAAATAATGAAAGCATTTTGAAAGAACAGTCATGTGGATAACTTTATTAAATGGTCCATACCTTTTTACAAAGGTCAAAAGGTATTTTCCTATGTTTCCTATTCATCTATAAAATCATGTAAATTAAGTGTAATTAAAAAAAAAAATTTTTTTCAAGGTTCTCCAAATTGTAAGTGTGATATTTTTAAGAAAGCTAGTTAAGGTTTACATAAGCAACTGCATTTTATTTATTTTTTTTTAAGCTGAAAACAGAATATTTCAGCTGATGTACATGGAAGGATTTAAGGCCACAATTTTGAATATTGCCGTTAATAAATATTATACTTTTTGCTTTTCTAAAATGTGTGTATCCTTTGTGCCAATATAAACAAATTAAGATGTGGCAACAACATTCAAAAGTGTTGGATATGGATCAATATAAATTCTAATGTTTTTTTTGTTTTTTAAAGATGATATCCCAACAGTTTTGGTCAAATAAAGACTGTGGCAAAATTCTTTTTTATTTCAGTGCTTTTATTGATAAAATGCCTACGCAGTTTGATAAATCACAACAGATGGCACAGATGACCATTAAGGGATCCTTTGAAATGACAACACTGAAAATCCTACATGTACGTGATCTTTGTGGCCGCAGGCTGCACTTTCTGAAGCAAGCTCAACATGATCCGATCGCTTTGAGTCTCCAGATGTGCAAAGCTGCAGCAGACATCGCCCTAAAGACCTACAGCTGTAATTAGGAGGTTCTACAAAGTGTTGACTCAGACTGACCGAATACAAATTTTCATTCAAACTAACAGCTATGCAATATTGTTAGTTTGTTGGTGTATCACAAAAAAAAAAAAAAAAAACAATAAATTGAAATTTTCAGGTCAGTGGCAAAATGTGAAATGCTGAAACATGGGGTGTGAATACTTTTGCGATGCACTACAGAAATTAGCGGATTATTTCATTACTCAGAGCTTACGGTTTCTCACGGTTACTTTTTACAGCTCTTAGGTTTTAATCATTGACATTTAGGCAGAAAACTCAAGGAGTGCGTATAACTGTCACCTAATAAATGAAAATAATTTCAGTCTTTCAGTCAATATGACATTTAACTTGCTGACTTGTGTGTGGGGGGGGGGATGGAAAAAGCCAATTTGGAAAATGAACTGAATATGAACTTCTCAACGTCACATTTATCCCCTCAATTTTTTCTAATAATCTGTCAAAAAGAAACTCGACTCCCTCCAGACCTTGATTAAATCGACACCCTGCACTGGTAATAATTTGCAAGTAGCCTGTAGTTCTTTCTTTCTCTTTCTTACTGTTTATTCAATGTCACATGATGTTCTTATTTTTTTCTTTAATTGTGTAAAGCATCTTGAAATGCCTTCCTGCTGAAATGTGCTATACAATTAAAATTTGACAGATAGATAGATAGATAGATAGATAGATAGATAGATAGATAGATAGATAGATAGATAGATAGATAGATAGATAGATAGATAGATAGATAGATAGATAGAGGAACTGGGTGAGGAACAGGTGCGTTAGTGAAATGAAACGCTGCAAGTTAGTGAAATAGCTCTTTTCAAAGCAGAAAAGCAGTTTTAAGCCTCTAAAATACCTCCGTTAGTCTCTCAACTCCCCACAGGGACTCTCAGAAACTCTTACGCACATTATATTTATCTACTTGTTCCTTTTGCCAAGTCTTAATCTGAAATTTGTAGTCAAAGTTTTATTATCTGTTTGGGCAATGTAATAATATCCATATTATGAGAAAGCTATTTTTTTTAATAGGGACATTTTGGAGGTATGATTTATAGTTTAATTCAGGTTTGTTTCCTTTTATTCTAAAAAATGTCACGTTTCCTTTACTTTATTTAACTTTTACACTCTGCTGTGAAACAGGACCAATACAAGCCTCCACTGGGCGAAAAAAATTATTTCACTGTAGATTTAGATTTAATATGGATGGAGTTAAAAATTTGCCTCTCTCTCTGTTCGGTGTAATGAAGGCAGATAAATGACTCAACGAACATCCAATTTCAGCGGCCTATGAAACCGCAATAAAAACGACAACTGCTGGTTTGTCGCTGTAACACATTTTACATGCAACGTACACAACAAGCTGGAAGTGATAAATGCACATTGAGAAGAAGGGTTTATTTAAACATTTCAGATCTTTCCTCAGCAGCTGAAAATGTTGAGATTTGTGATTACAGTTGTTGAAATATGGCTTGATGTGAGGCGATGGCAGCCGTTTCGCTCATGTGCAACCGAGATATACAGCTCTCAATAAAAGGCCAAACAGTAACTGACAAAGCAATTTTCCACTCAAGGTCTCCATAATACATTACATGAGCATTAACTGGAACCCATAGATCGTGGTATGAAAACCAAGCTGTATTTCATTGTATGTCTTTTCAACTCAGAAGGCTGTAATTGCGAAATAAAAACCATACTCTAAAAGTCAGGTATGGGATGAGTTTAAAAGGGCAAAAAGCTAAACATTCCTTGCTTTCTGTCAAGGTTTGCTCAGGAGAAAAGTTTCTTTGTTTCCCCTAATCTCTGCTGATGAAGAGCTTTGAATCAGAAATAAATTCAGAAACAGACAACTCTGCTTTTCACAAAAGAGGATTAGAGTCACTGAAAAAAGAAAGAATGTTGACTTTAATCAGCTATGTAAAAAAAAATCCCATAAATCCAACATGTTCCCCAAGAAAATTAGTTCTCGTGTGTATTTCTGTCATCGAAGCTGGTTGCTCCCAGCTGCCCACCTGCCTTAAAGTCAGAAGTCTGAGATTAAACTAATAGGGGGAAAAAAAGTCTGAATTATTTTGGTTTTGTTTATTTCAGTGGCCCTAATCCTCTTCCATAGCTTTAACCTGCAAGAATCTCTAGGAAAAATGACAACAGATGTGCTTGCTCAGACAAGAAAACATGAAAACGTTGTTACGGTAACATCCTTCTGCTCTCTTATGCACAGATGAAACCAGCAACCAGTTATAGACACCTAAGTTATCAGGGTTCTCTTATCCAACTTTTAACTGTGGCAGGCCTGTGTAACATGAAGGCTTTCGCAGAATCAAAGCAGAACATGATGGGGGGGGGGGGGGAACAAAAGTTTCAAGCTGCATGAGAACTGTGGGTTTTGACAACTTAGCCATAATGAAAGATTCAGATGAGCCTAATCATAACCGAGAAAAAACCAGCAATGTCAGCATAATTAATGTCATCATGCTTTGAAAAGAGCATGAATGGACTATAGTGAACTGAGCATCTGTCAAAAATGTATGGAACATTATTTAGTACAAGGTAGTCCTAATACTGATTCTGTCACATAGTGAAAAAGTAGCAACACAAACAGTTTATCTCAAAGCACTTAATTATTAATGCTCAACCACTGCATTTGGAAGGACATCTATCAGCACTGACCACATGGCGTCTGCTGCTACACTGACCGGATTGTGGTTTATACTGAAAGCAAAAGAGCTACATTACTGTGAAGACACAAACCTGTCAGATCTGCGCCAAAAAGGTTTCACATAAGGGTCCCAAAACCAAATACTCAGAAAGAGGCATGTTAAAAAATAATGTATGAACAATAATCATTATAAGCTTAAAGTTACTGTTATTTCTGACAGCAGCAGACAACTGTCTGTAGCTCTGGTCAAATATTTTAGATTAACTCATATGTCATCTATTTTAAGGATCACTTCTTCATTTTAAATGTGTAAAAGTTTAAATTTATTATGAATTTTGACTCACCCACAAAGGGCCTAAACTGTACATTGAGACTCGGCTGATAAATAGTTCCAGTTTTTTTTTTTTGTTTTTTGTTTTTTAAGATTTTGTTTTATAACTATTAAAATAAATAGTTATAATAATAGTTTATATATCAAACAGGGAGCTGATTGTTACATATTTCTCTTTCAGATTTTTATTCCAACTGAAAATTAAAAACCCAGAAGAAACTAATGCCAATGTTGAGCATTTCTAAATATCACTTTAAAAATCATGGAAAACCAAATACGAATATATAGAGTGTAACCATTTATCTGCTTATTGTTTTATTACATTTAACAGTCATAATTCTCTTACAAAGACACCTAAAATATGAATTTTAGGTGAGATTTTCCTTTAAAAGCTACAAAAATACTTGAGTAAAGCATGAAACAGGAGAGCTTAATAAAGACTTTTGAACCCTACAACATTTTCTGCCCACCTGCTGACTGTGAGAAATCCATCTTGAATATTGATTTTGTTTACCGTTTGCTGGATCTATAAGCATGTCAATGTTTGATCAAATCATTCGCAGAAGATTTAACCAAACAAAGAAAAAATAAATATAAAACTACAAATGCAGCATCAAGAGGTACATTTACAGCTATTTTAACATTTTTTGGGGGGTTAAAGCAACTAAGAGAAACCGTTTCCACTGCTCTCTTGTAGTTCTGTATAATCTGACTACGGATCTCTAAAATACAGAGTGAAATGTGTCACTTCACGCTTCTGGACATGCAGATCACAGTCTGAACTAGTCTTTATTCTTTTTGGCCTCGTGTTTCAGAGGGACGGGAAAAGCTGAGAACAATATGGCAGAGTCTTTCATCAAACATCTGTCATCTCATCTTCCATCTCGTCCCCTTCTGTTTCGCCCTCTGCTTCGCCCTCCTCTTCCTCCTCCTCAGATGTGACGTCCAGCTCGTCCATCTGGGATGTGCACTTTGAACACGAGCAGACAAACAGGTAGTTTTCCCTGCGAAGAAAAACACTCGGTCAAGATATTGCACCCACGGAAATGGCTGAAGATGCTAACAGACAGACGCCACAGCAAATGAATGCAACTATTTTAGTGAATACTTCCAATAATTTAATCAACTAGCATGATGGAAACACTCACCGAGGGTGGAAATGCACTTTATTAAAACTTAAATAAGCAGGTTGCGTTAAAACTTCAGGTGTTATTGAGACTGAATGTAATTTGAAGATGGATTGACATCATGCTGATCAATGAGCAGCAGCTACGCCGTTTCTGCCTCAGGACTGCCCATCAGTGCCTGCTGGTTTTTTTTTTTTTTTTTTTTTTTTTTTTTATTGATCCACATTTAATCCATAAGAGTGTGACCTGCCTTTAAATGATTTATCCTACAGATTACGTGTGTTTACCTCAGAATCTTGTGCCTGCTGTGTCGGCTCCTGTCCCGCTGACAGAAATCCAAATAACTGATGCAGATCTCCTGAAAACAGAAGACAACATTGAACTGAGGACCCCAGAGCAGAAACCGCGCCCTCGATTAAAAAAAAAAAAAAAAAAAAAAACACAAGCTTGAGGTTTCCTGCACATTTTTTCCCCACGTAAAAATTTCAACTGGATGAATGGAAAGGAATAATTGAGTGATGAGCAAACGGATGAGCAAGGAAAAGTCAATGGACTGATAGACGTAGAAGACAGATGGATGCATGGATA